AATTTAGACTACTACTATAAATTTACTTAGACCTACTATAAATTTGAAAATTTGCGATTTTTTTCCAGTAGGCTGGATTGCACAATTATGCAAAACCTATCCGACCGATCTTAACAAAATTTAGCACACGTTTTAAACATATTAAAAAGTTTTTCTAGGCGGAATATGGAGCTTGTAAGTCAAGTTTAGAAAGTCAAAACCATTTAAAGGATTCCCTTCATTTTTTTGTACTTTTTTTTTTCCAATTATTGCTATTTTTTCAACAATAAACAATAAATTTTTTATTTCTAGCTAACGAAATATTGTGTAAAATTGAATAACGAAACTTTTAAATTGTTATAATTTTTTCTCTAGGATCAATATTTTCCGAATTATAAACGAAAATAGGAACAAAAAAATGGGAAGTTTTCATTGTTTTCAGATTTTGTTAAATAAAAAATTTAGCACAGGGTTTGCGACTGGTGCATATCGTGATTATCGATATTGGGCACATCCTGAAGCGATTCCAGCAAAAAATAGCTTCCTATGTAAAATGTCCAATCCAAAACAAATCCCGTCTAGACCATGACAGTTTTTTGCAATTTTGAGTTACAGTGTTCTTCTTGTAAAACTTTGTATGCACTATCCACCTATATCGTTGGTCTGGCTGTAACTACATTTATAAGAAATAAGAGAAAGAGAGAATAAAAACATCATATTAGAAGCGTTTCAAAAACCTAATATTTTACTTAAGGACTTACAAAAACCAAAATATGCAACATAGACATCCTTTTCTTAACTTATTTATTCTTAAAATGGTTTGAATTAACTGTCATCAGTTTCTGAAGATGCACTAAACACATTGTTTTTGTTGCTGCATTTTTAATATGTATTATCTTGAAGAGATTGTAAGGCGAAGTAAAGACAACAATTGCTTTTTAACTCATAAAGAGAAAATTCCCAGTGGTTGGCTGTATAGCATAGTTACTTTTTGTTTCAAAAAATGTAGGTTTTCCCATGACAAATAACAAATAACACAGACATACACCATCGAAATTGTTAAGCAAATAATATGTTTAAACAAAACCCAATCAGAATAACAGTGGTATTTTATCAACTTCGCAATATAGTACGCTAAATATTTGCTGTGTTCACAATTATAATGGGTTTTTAGAATGTAACACTTACTTTTCAGAAGCCATGTTTCTATTTATTTATTCCAATTCCAATTTGTTCTTACCTGAAACAAAACAGAATAATTAGTAATATTTACTTTTTTCCTTTTGTATTTGTAATTTTTTACGGTTATTTTAGGATAAGAATATTAAGCCAATACGAGGAAATCAACAAAACACGTTTTGTACTGGTAGTTTTTTATTATGTTTTAAATTCCAATGAGACAGATCTTAAAAAATAGATAATTTTAGGGTAATTTCCTTTGGGTAAATGTAATATAAGTATATTAAATAAGAAAACTTAATATTAACAAAGTTATGGTTATTAAAAACAGTCTTTAATTTATCGAATGGAAATATCTATATCCTTAAAATCCATAAAAAAAAGATATGATTCTGACTAACCGCAAAACAGCAAGTTTTTTATGAAACAGTTATAGAAACTTTTTTAAAGATCCTTAAAAAATCTTTAAAATTACGGACTGAGTTTTAATAATTTTTGAGTTACTTCAATTTTCTTTCGATAAATTTCATATAGAGAGCAAAAAGCATCTCTACATAGCGGTATCTCATGGTTCATAGATGTGATATGATAAAGCACTCTTGCAGAGCCCCCCAGTCTTTATTACCTTCTTTTTTATAACTTTCCCCGTTTGTGATATATATTCTTATCCTTGGTTTCTTAAATTGCAGCTTTCTTACGTTCTCATTACGCACCTTCTTCCACACACCTCCTGGATTTTATGTTTGCTTTTTAAGCAATTTTGAAACCGAAAGCACCAAAATTACAATAATTTTCTACTACAAGCATCCAAATATACCCCTTTTCTTACCCCTAGTCGAGTACTTTTCCACACAAAGCGGCTCTAATGGGCGATCTAGCCTATTATGTACAATATTTCCATCTTTTCAAAGTTATTTGAAAGGTCGTCGTAATGTTCTCTTTTTGCCTCACTTCTTCTTCTTAGAGTGCCGTCTCCCTACGGAGGTTGGCACTCATGATAGCTATTTTTATTTTAGAACATGCTGCTCTAAACAAATCAATCGATCTGCATTGATACCAATCACGTAGATTCTTTAACCATGAGTTCTCCCTTCGGCCAACAGATCTTCTTCCTTGAATCTTTTCCTGTATTCTAAGTCTCAACATTTCATATTTTGGTCCCCTCATCAAGTGGCCAAGGCATTCCAGTTTTCTGGTTTGTATAGTGGTGATTAGTTCTGTTTCTTTACCAACTTTTTCCAGTACTTTTTTATTTGTAATTCTATTAGTCCATGATATTTTCAATACTCTGCGGTATAACCAGAGTTCGAAGGCCTCGCTTCTTTTTAAATTACATTTTTTTAATGTCCAAGTCTCGGCTCCATATAATAATATTTAAAATATATAACAGCGAATGGTACGTAGTCTGATCTCCAAATTTAGATTTTTGCACGTTAGGAGTGGCTTCATTCGCCTGTTTATTTCTACAATATGATCATTGGTTTCATTGATCAAAGTTCCCAATTACTGATATTTTTCTACTTGTTCTATCACGTTACCATTGACTGTCAATAGGTGATGTATATTTTGTGGTCTTTTTGTAATTAGCATGTACTTGGTTTTTTTAGCGTTTATAGTAATTCCCATCTCAGCACTATTCATACTCAAGCTTTCGATAAGATGTTGTAGATCCTCTATACTCGTTGCTATGATCATAGTGTCATCTGCATATCTTAAGTTCTTAATTAATTTTCCGTTAACGGTGACTCCCGTTTCGATATTATTGAGCATGTTTTGGAAAATTTCTTCAGAATATGAGTTAAACAAAAGTGGTGATAAAATACATCCCTGTCTAACTCCTCTACAGATCCTCATTTATTCTGAGTGTTGTCCATCAATTTGAACTATGACACTTTGGTTCCAAATCCAATATAATGTTTGCACTATATTTATGATTTTACTGTCAATGCGCTTGTTCATAAGTATTGATATTAGTTTTCCATGTCTTACTTTATCGAAAGCTTTCTCGTAGTCAACGAAGCACAAGTGTAGATCAACATTTACATTCCGACATCGCTGAATCAATATGTTGATGGTAAATAGTCCTTCTCGAATACCCATTCCATTTCGGAACCCGAACTGTGTCTCGCTAATATCCTCATTTGCCTCACTAGTTTTATTTTATTCTTCACCAGTTTCTATTATTAGTGCCTCATCCTGAATACCTTTCTTAATATTTTTGGAAAACAGTTTACGTGTCACCTTCTGAATATCTTCAGAATTGAGAGCAATTTGCTGTTATCATCACTACCTGACAAATCAATGTCATCATCACTAGAAGGAAAATATTCATCACCAGATGTGGCATCTTCATCATGGCTACTCCCTTTAAGCTTTGAAAACCAAATAATTATGGTCAGACATTGCCAAAAATCAATAAAAATTTAACGAGGAAATAATGACCAAAAAACTTAAAACACGAAAAAAAAACAAGAGGTGTGCCCTTATTATTCTTGTTACTTAAAGACTTTCATATTTTATGCTGTAATCGCTAGAGAAAAGATTTTGAATATCAATGTCAAACACATATTTCTTACTTATTCTCTTTTGTATCTCATTGGAACTCGATAGTTTGGTAATATCCTGAATATCATCATTTTGATTTTGAAAAACCTCTTGCGTTGATAATTGTCCGCCAGTATCCGTGTGCATTTCACTCTCTGTGATTATGTCTTGGCTTGGAATGAGGTTATAAACAACATATAACTTACGATGATTTGAAGAACAAGATTTCTCGTCTTTTTCATTTAACACTAGCTGTAGAATTCGTTTACCTCTACATTCTATTATGAGTTGTTATTATATTATTTATATTAAAACCATCTTTTCAGACAAAAAATTCATACAAAAGTTTAAAAAAAACTGGTCCATATTTTTATTTGTTTTTGTGACTATTTATATTTATTTAGTCGGTCAGATAACCAAGCAGGGCTAGGCGGTCGGTTCTCATTCGCTTCACTGCGAGTGCTTCAGTGGATGTGGGCTCGATCCCCAGCTCGGTGTACAGAAAACAAAAAGTATAAAGTTATACCTTTAAATGCGAAACTCGCAATGATGTAATAGGAACATCATGTAAAGGGAATCCCCGAATTGCAAATGCTCACTTTACTGACACCTGGATGTGAATAGTTAATATTTAATTATAATAATTAATAATAGATATTTTTGGATGAAATACAAACAGCACAACTTTAAAATCGCATAAAAATAATACACATAAAAAGGACATGACTGTATATACCTTCCATTTATATTTTTTTGTTACATACAATATATTTATATAAAAAATATGTTTTCTAAAATCAATCAGTTCAACATCCAACTCAAAAATCCTAATATTTAAAGACCCTTATAATAATAAAACTTAATCCATTTAGTCTAATAAATTTTAAATTATCTATTATTAGCATTATTGAAATATTTAGTTCTAACCTGGTAATAAATTGGCACATTTAGATCTTCACGGTTCCATGGGTAAACCCAACAAAAAAACCACCTTTAGTACCGACCGTCATCCAATTGTATGAATTATGTAAATAATCTCAAAACAGTGTAATTGACCAAAAAACTAGAATGCATTCAACTGAATAAATTAGTAATATTAAATTTATTCACTTTAATTCAACAAAATTACATCAGAAGATAAAAAAATGACAACAGTGAAAGTTACCGCAGATGCAATAGACAATTTGTTAATCATTTCACTAACGGCTAAAACAAAAACTTTAAGAAAAATCGTATAAAAGCCACTACCACCTCAACCGAAACAGTATCAACGACTCAGTTTCAGTATTCACATCAATATGAATACATACAAAGGACTTTTCGTCCTCGCCTTAGTGGCTTTAGTGGGAGTTACTCTAACTCAATCTCGTGAAATCAGTCGAGACAAACGTGAAGTTAGTAGTGATTTGGAAGCAGCGGCATCCGGGCACGGTCACCATTGGAAAAAAGGAGGCGGTCACGAGAGCCATGCTGACCACCACAGCAGCCACGGTGAAAAGGGCGATAAAGGCTACAAGGGCCACCATCACCACGAAAAGGGATCCAAGGGCCATCACGACAAAGAGGGCCATAAGAAACACTATGAAGAACACGGCGGCCACAAGAAGAAACACCACCACGACGATGGCTACCATGCCGAACACCACAAGGGAGAAAAAGGCGAGAAAGGACACAAATACGGTGAAAAGGGATCTTACAAAAAGGGTCACAGCACCAAAGGAGGACATGACGTACATAAGTTAGACGAATACAAAAAGGAAAAGCACTTCTTCGATGAAGACCACGACTCCGGCCATCACGAAAAACACGGAGGACATCACCACGAAGACGGATACAAGAAGGGAGGCCACAAGAAAGGAGGTCACAAGAAGGGAGGACACCATGAAGACCACTACGGCAAGAAAGGAGGCCACGAGAAGGGATCCCATTACCATGAATCTGCTGGACACAAGAAAGCTGGTGGACACGACGACCACTACCACCACGACCACAAGTATGGAAAGAAGGGTGGTCACGAAGACCACAAGAAGTGGGGATTCAAAAAAGGACATTAAGTACCAAAATAAAAATGTGATTCAGTTGATTTTTGTTGAGAATAGTTGTGTTTTATTGGTTGTTGTTTTGTTTTATGTGACTAGTTTTAATAAATCGATTTTAATACTTTAAAAAATTGATCTTGTTATTTTTTAATTTACTAGTAGTACTTAACGTAAGTACATAAAATTAACCATTTATGCTAATGTACTAGCTATTTTGGCTGCAATTGTTTCGTCAATCCATAAATTGTCTAGTTTCATTTTCATCGCCAGTTTTCATCTTTTTTATTTGGAAATTGTTGTTTATCTTCGAATTGTCGCATCAATTGGTATCAACCCTAGACTTCCTCTAATATATCTATTCTTAATTTTATTTTTTATTTTATCTACCCCTATTTATTTAATTATTCTTATGTCCACCACATGTATTTCTTCTTCATTGCCCAATACTCAGTGCCTACATCAATGCTGGTTTTATGGTTTTATTGTTAAATATATTTTATTGTAATCTTCCTGTCACACAATACACCACTCGTCTTCTTTTATTTTATCCATAATGCTTTAACTCTGCTGCATACATCTTAGTCTACTTGGCAATACTGATCTTAGATACTTTTAAAACACTGACAGTTTATAATCGGTTTAGTATCCAAAGTGTTAAATCTCTGTTTTCAAAAGGTTTTCTTTACTTCTTCCGTCTTTATCCTAAATGTATTTCCTACTTCTTATTTGTGTATATTTTACTCTGTCTGCAGTTCTGAAAAGTTCTATTGTTGTGTTTCCACTTAATTGCTTTCAGTATTTTAAACAGGACGTGCGTGGTCTCCCTTGTACTCTTTTTCCTTCCACTTTTTCTTGTATAACCAACGGCAATATTTTTCTCTTCTCAAAAGTATCTCATTTTTCTTTCCTTCATAATGTTAAGCATTTCTTTTTTTTTTTTTCATCTTTCTAAACATGATATTTTTCACATTCTTTGATAACACTACATGTCAAATATGTAAAGTCTTTTTTCAGTTGCGTCCATAATTGTCCAGACTTCAACTTCATATAAAAGAGCATATAATACTTAGCACCTCAATACACTACTTCTAATTTCTTTTCTCAGTTTTGCATTGTATAATACTCCTTTCATCTTATCTGGATCTGGCAGTGCAGCTGGTGCATCTGGCTATCTAAATGCTTCATTTTATTTCAAGCCTATGGTCCTATTGTTCATTTAGCCCACATCATAAGTAATTGTGGATACTTCCTCCAAAATTTTTCCTTTAACGTTTCCTTCGTCTTCAATTTTGTTATTACTGACAATCATGACTTTATTTTTTTGTGTTCAGAGCCACTCCATACCTCTCGCAGTATTGCGTAAGACGATCAACCAAAATTTGCAGGTCTTATATGCTGCCCGCAAGGGCAGCTGGCTTTCACTACTAATGATATGCTTTCATTAGTAGTTTCGATGAAAATGGAAAAGAGGAATGGGAGCTGGAAGCCAGAATAGCAAAAGGGAATAAAAAATTAGGTAATTTAAAAGCCCTACTGAATTCAAAATACGTTTCTAGAGAAGGTAAACTCAGAATATATAAAACAGAAATTTGACCCACAGTAACATACGCCGGTGAGACATGGATATTAAATAAGAAGGAAGAGGATACTCTGGAAAGATGGGAAAGGAAAATACTGAAACGCATATTAGGAGGATGGAAGACAGAAGATGGTTGGAAGAGAAGAACCAAGAATGAATTAATGGCTTTATACAAAGAACCTACCATTACCAAGTTTGTCAAGTCACAAAGAATCAGATGGTTGGGACATGTGGAAAGAATGGAAGCAAACAAAATTGCCAATCTAGTAATAACCAGAAAACTAATCCGCCCCAAAAGAAGAGGTAGATTCAGAACGAGGTGGATTAATAAAGTGGAGGAAGACCTTAAACACGTGAAGGTGAGAGACTGGAAAATAAAAGCACAAAAACAGAAGCAAATGGAGAAATATTGTCCACCAGGTCCTTCAGAATAGTTAAGAATGTTGTATATACATATTTAAGATATTAAAGTTTTGTTTAAAATAATTGTAATTAGTATCTTTACAAAAATTGCCCTAGGCCTTACCGGCCTGTTGTGCGTAAAAATAAAAAAAAGCAAATAGGACCAAATGCAAGCGATTTAAATTCGATTTTATGTGTATTGTTGTAAAGTAGCAACATTTGTCTTTTTGTGAATGAAAGGTACAAGATAAAAGTCCCAAATAAAATCATGTATTTGACAATTTTAAAAGAAGGTTAAAGATTTTTTCAGATTGAAAATTGGTGGTTTTCGAATAAATTTTACGTTGGTGCTAAGATACATCAATGATACAGTTATAATTGTAGAGAGTCCTGAAGACATACCGCGCCACCTGCTTGACAGCAGATTTATTGGGCCTAAAAATCAACATCGCAATAACGAAGATGTAAGTAGTAAATCAGAATCCTGATCAACCAGTGCACGTAAATGTATGTGGTACACAGATAAACAAAGTCTTTAAGTTTAAATACCTGAAACATTTGATTCCGGACTTAGAAATCGAGCCTGAATTGAAAAAGCCAGGGTAAATTTTTTTAAAATGCGAAGTCACTTATGCGATAGGTCACTTAATCTGCAATTAAGATACTACATTTTGTAAAGTGCTACATTATATTCTACACTTTTATATGGATTTGAAATCTGGAAGCTAACATTTGCCAGTTCAAATAGACTTGAAGCAATTAAAACCTGGGTAGACGAATGTTATGAATACTTTAGATTTCCCACACGACTAACTTGGAAGTTATCTACAGAATGAGCAAAGAAAGTCAGGCAAATGTGGGTCAGCACGAAGACAGTGTTCGTGGCTTAAAAAAATAAAATTGAACAGACTTGGGCTCTAAAGATTTGCTGAGAAAGGCACAAAACACAAAAGAATATGCCAAAATTGTTGCCGATATTCGATAGGAGAAGGCACTGGAAGAAAGCGAAGAAATGTGAGACTACATGTCTACACCATTTTATCATAATGTCTCGAGAATTTGATAATTACTTTTGGCCTCTACTTTGTGCCTGAACAAACTATGTCGAAGTGGTCAGTTTTGGTCATTCAAACAAGAAAAACGATTAGTGAATCAAATGTTTTTATGTAAAAAAGTAGTTTTCCATCTATTAGACATGTAATAATCAAACAATTCCCCTAATAATAACACAGGTTAATATATGGTTAAAATATTAATTCAAAACAATAACTAAAAATTAGAGAAAACATTTAATAGTACCTGCTACATGAAAATCCTTCACCATAGTTGCATCTCCTACCTTATTATAAAAGTCAAGAACAAAACAATCACAAGTATTTAAGTGCAAAAGGCAGTATGGCAAAAACTCTCTATTGTTAAAGTATTCGTTGATTATATCAAACAGCTTCATACTTGACGAACCACGCCAAACGTCATACGGCATTCCCCACAAGTAACTACCTACTATTATATAGTTTTCAAGAATGCGTAGAAACGTTCATATTGAATTAAAGTTGAATATAATACAAAGTTAAAAATAATTAAGTATTTTTAAATAAAAAACTAATAAAGAGTCGCATTTTTTATAAACATTAATGTGATAAAAGTCCAATTAACTATCCAATGCAGTAGGAATTTTAAACAACACAAACATCTCTCTACAATAATAGTATAATATATTTTTTCTACTCTCTTACTAGTAAATTGTATATTACCTACTATTTGGATGCTAAGTAAATGCATCATAACAGATACTGACACGTAATGACTAGCACGTAATAAAAAAAAATTACGCTTCAGTTTTATAAAAATGTGTAATATCACATAAGCCTTGTAAGTCAGTTGGTCGAGTTACCAAGGAAACGAATTAACAGACGTTATTTTGACAGATTAAAAATTATTAATCTGTCAGTGTAAATATAGTGGTAATTTAATTTTTATTTTTATAAACGAAAATAATCGTAGAAAAAGTATAGTACACAACTTGAGTTGTAAGCTTATGACATGCTTGTAAAATTACTGCGCTCGCCGCTACGCGGTTCGCGCGCAACTGTTTTACTCGCATCACCAGTAATAAATAATCTCCCAGCTGAACTATATAAAGAAGGTAACCATAATACCATAATGGCATTACAGCAGCTTATAAAAGAAATATGGATACAGAGAAATCCCTCCCCAAAGATTGGAATATTGAAATACTGTGCACCATACACAAAAAAGGAGATATCTGTAAATGCTCTAAACACAGAGGAATTACGCTTCTAAATGCAGCATATAAAATATTTTTCACAGTACTATGTCATCGTATGGTACCATATGCAGAACGGATAGTAGGAAAATACCAACTGTTTTGGATGGGTTGGAGTCAATAAAAGGGGCTATTTGTTAACTATTTTTTACTCGAGCTTGCAATTGTGTTTACAATTATTTTCAAGAGCTGCTAAAAAATACAAAATATCTTACAAAGTTGAACTAGAAATAAAAAATTTTGTTAACTCACCAAATAAAATTAGTTTTGTATAAAAAATGCTGCTAACATATTATAAAAAAAACATTAATACAAAAATGTTCTATTCCAATAAACGTTTGTCTGAAATTTTTATTTTGAATAAGTTTCTTAAAAACAATTGAATTTGTAAATAAAATTGAATAGTTACAAATAAGCCTCAATGTCATAAATACCAACTTAAAAATTTTTATCTTTGACAATTATATCGTCAAAAATAAAATTTTGTTTAAAAATTCTTTTTTGTTTAGTAACAAAAAAGAAGAAGATTTATTCACCATTGATAGATGCCTGAAAAAATGTAACAAATACATGGAAAATTAAATCAAAATGTGATATTTTACTGATTTCATATATAAACTACATAGAAATAATATAATTACAAATTTTGTTTAGATTTTGAATTTCTGACCTTTTGTTGAAATTATTATCACTTTTGCTAATACAAACCATTTCCAAAAAAGTTCTTTTAAATTTATTACTTTCACTACATAAAATTTTAATATTATCAAAATCCATAATATGGTCTTGTCTCATAAGTAGTCTCATAAGCACAAGATGGTTTCTTAATTCTGCAATCACTTTTGTGAGAAATAATGCGATTTGAGAGATTTCTTCCGGCCTCACCAACATGCTCAGCTTCACACTGAGTACAACTAATGCTGTATACTACATTTGTTTTATCTAATTTGTCTATAGGATACTTAGTTTTGGAATATAAAGATGAAATGTTTTTGATGTTCTTTGTTGCTATTTTTATATTGTCAATAACCTTTAGTGTTTGTATTAACTTAGGTGTTAATGATGGTATAAAATTGATATTTTGTATATGCCTGTGTATCACTTTTTGTATTTTTCTTATGCTAATAACCCTAGTGGTTGAAGCAAAATAAATAAAACAATCTACAAATTAATAATACGTCCAGTCCTAACATATGGTTTAGAGACCTGGCTCTAATAAGAAAGAAAGAAAAAATGTTTCAAAAGAAAAGTACTAAGGCGAATTTATGGAGCAGTGAATGACAATGGAGTATGGAGAAGACGATATGACTTGGAACTTTGTAGAATATACCAGGAACCTGATATTGTAAAACATAGAAAGGTAGGATGTCTGAGGTAGATAGGGCATGTAATGCGGATGGATCAAAATGGCCCAACTAGAAAAGCACTAGTTAATAGACGCATTGGTCACAGAAGAAGAGGAAGACCTAGAATAAACTTTTTGGATCGATGAAATGGAGAGAAATTTTTCTGGAGAGAAATTCTTGAGGAGGCTAGGATCCACGTAAGGTTATAAAGTCAGAATGATGACCATACGAAGTTCATAATACGACTTCTAAGTATTTAGAAATAGAATAGGCATGTACGTTTAAAGTTAATACCTGACTTAAAAACAATATAGCAATGTTTTTCTAGGAAAGATATATTATCATTGTCTTTTTTAGAAAAAAACTCATAGGTTTACAATTATCAGTAATATGTATTTCGGTAAAAATGCAATATTGTACACACTAAAATATGATTTACATATTTCGATTTTTACTAGTACTTAGTTGTTCCGGGCATACAGTGGCATCGAAAGCTGCATCTATAATACTGTTATGTTTAGATAAGTCCAATTATTCAATTTCGGAGCATTGTTCACTATTTTTTTTTTTCATCAACAACGTCATTATTCTGAAAGTACTAACTAATTTTATAATAAAATTTTATTTTGTTTTTTCAGAATCCCTTTTTTCTTTTTTATTATATATTATTATATCTAATCTTATAATGTACTATATCTCTCTCACTAAGATATTTCTTAGAACTAGACATGTTGATATTTAACTTTCACAATTAACTTTACTTTGACTTTATTTGCAGGTTCCATAAAAATAAAACACAAATATTAAAAAGTACTTCCTTGGTTAACAAATGCAGGAATTCCCCGAGAGTCACCAGTTCGCCCGCGCCACCTACGTACTGCGAGAAAAAAAAAGCAATTATTGGATGCGTTCTAAAATTGCTGCTCTTCTTGTGGTTACGTTTATTCTTGTGAATATTTATATAATGTATACTTTTTTAATTCAATTACATCTTAGATCTAAAGTTTTTGATGCATGCATTATTCCGATATTAACTTATGCGGCACAAACATGGACAATCACAAAAAAGAATATGAATATACTTAGAGTCACTCAACACGCGATGGAAAGAGCAATGCTAGGTATATCACTTAAGCACAAGAAAACAAACACATGGATAAGACAGAAAACCAAAGTAACCGATGTGGTGCAAAAATCATTAAAGTTGAAATGGGAATACGCTGGACATGTAGCTAGGAGCGATCTAAACAAATGGCACAGATCAATTTTAACCTGGAGAGCATACCAACACAAAAGACCCAGAGGCAGACCTCCTATGAGATTGAAACCTCAATACTCCGGGAGTATTGGATTTTAGGAAGTGTAAGACTTCCAAATTCCAGAAGAACTGGAAGAGAAGTAATGAAAAATACTAAAAATATGGCTAAGCTCAGAGGAACAAAGTTAAATGGCCAAAGAGACACTAAATCTCAAGTGAGTGTTCGGGCTAGCGTCAATGCACTGGATTGTGGCTTTAAAGATATAAACAGATAGCAAGGATACTGAGCTAATGAGACAAGAAACGAAATGAGACCTGGTAATATCAAACGTGATACAACTAAAGAAGGTCACTGGGAATAAATTTAAAGAAAGAGAACAATAAGAAGAGAAAAAGAAGGGCGCCAACTCAACGATAGTTGAGATTTTGAAGTAACAAATGATTGGAAAACAAATGATTCTGGAGATAATAACCTGAAATACAAAATACTAAATACTAATCTTGTTTTGCTATATTATATACTGGTTAGTAAAACTGAAATAAAACTCAAAATAGTAACAATAAATATATTTATAAAAATGTGTATATCGATAGTAT